AGGAATGCTTCCCACCTCTCCCTGCCTTGCTGAAGCCCCTGCAAAGGCTTGTGCTGTGGCTTTGATCCTGTGCTGGGGTTCTCTCAGCTCCCCATAGGCCATAGAAGCAGCTTCTGGCCTTGGGAAAGGCTGGAGAGAGCCAGTGGGGAGGAGGTTCAATGGCTCATCCCTCCTCTTCATCTTCTCTGCAGCCAGTGACCCCCTCCTCAGCTCTGAGCAGGCTGGTCCCCATGGTGTCCCCAGCCTCAGCAGGCTCCCAGCAAGCCATCAACATGCTGAAGGAACAAAACCGGCTTCTCACCAAGGTACTGGAGGAAGGAGATCCCCTTCAAGGGGTGGGGGATGGGGTGGGGCTGGAGAAGGAATAGGAAGCAGTGGAAAGATGTTCCTTCAGCTTGGTCAACCTTAGTCATCCCAAAGAAGGGCATGTGGGCTGGAGACCCTTCGTCATGCAGCTGTGTCCAGCTGTTTGCTGGAGACGGGTCTGTGGGTGGGCATGGGGCATCCCTACTGCAGGGAAAAGATTATAACAGATGCAGGTCAGGAGAGGGTGCAGAGCTGTGGCTGGAGCGTGTGAGCCAGGTTGCTGGGGAAGGAGCACCCATGATGCCCCTGCCACGGCCAGGCTGGCTGCTGGGGTTCACATCCCAGCACCTGCAGTGCAGCAAACACTAGTGCTTCCATTCTCTAAGCAGCATTTTCATCCTCTGTCCTATGCAGGAGGTGACCGACAAGAGCGAACGCATCACCCAGTTGGAGCAGGAGAAATCTGCCCTGATCAAGCAGCTCTTTGAGGCTCATGCCCGCAATAACCATGAAACAAACCAGCTGGACTCCACCTTCATCTAGTGCCCATCACCCTACTCCCCACCCTCCACCTTCCCTGGGGGTTTTGTGGGACTCTTGCCCCAAACCCACTGCACTCATTGCTCCAGGTGCCATATCTCGAGGTCTGGAGCTGCTGGTTGCATCTCAGCAGGAGGAAGCTGGGAAGGCAGTTCCCCACACAGGGAGCACCCCCACTGCTCTGCTGCTGCGCTTTCCAGCCCTGCTGCTGTCAAGCTGCTCCTTTTCTGTCTCTGGATGGACTGCAGGGACTGTGTCCCCAGTCCTGTGTCCCCAGCATTCTGGGGGAAGTGGCTGCTGCCCGTGCTGCCTGCACGGGGGGAGCTGAGGTTTGGCTTCTCTCAGAAAAAGATGATGGCTCTTCAGTCCCCCAGCTGGCATCTCTAGGCTGTTGAAGGGTGGCCTGTCTCCTGCTTGTCCTTTTTGTCAGAGGATGAGATTGAAGATCCAATGGGACATGCCTGGCTCCTCTCTGCTGCCTGAGTTGTGCCTGCTACAACACTACACAGGGCCAGAGCTGTGCCCAAGCTGGTGCTCCTGGTGTAACTCCTCTTTCCAGTTTGCGGTAGTGATGCCATAGTGGCTGTTTACACATCTGTAGGTTCCTAGAGTTAATGAGTCAGAGACCCAAACGAGGTAGCCTGAACCTCTGAGCTGCTGCTCCAGGCTGCTTGCAGATCAAGACAGACACCTTGACATAGCTGTGTTTGGCTTGACCTGTCAAAGATCTTCTGACTGCCAGGCTTAGAATTCTTTTATGTATTTAGCTGAACCTGGGTGATGGGAGTGGAAGCTGATGGTCCCTTCCTTTGCACATCTCCAAGTGGAGAAACAGCAGCTTTGCCTCTCCAGGTGGTGTGTGCTGGCTCCCCTTCCAGGTCTTTGTGGAGGGTGATGGTCTGAGCATGGGTCCAGTTAGTCTGATGCATCTCAGGATGCCTCCTCCTTCCCACCCAACTCGATGATGCTTGAGCTGAACAATGTCTTCCATGTAGCTTGGTACTTGGTATTTATGGTACTTTTGTAGGAGATCCTTGTGAATCCTCATGTAGCACAGGCCTGTCCTTCTGTAGCTTCAAGACCAGGACCTTTCTCTCTGGGATTATTTTATGATCTGAGTCTTGGCCTGCTGTGACATGATGCACTGACTTGGGTAGAAGCTGCTGGACCTGCCCTGGGCTTGGAACCATGCAGACCAATTCCCTTCTTGCTCCTGTTTTTATCTGTCCAGTGCTGTCTGTCCCATCCAGCTCCTCCATTTGAGGTTGATCATGACCTGAAGCTCACTGCAAGGCATGAATCTGCTCTTCCCTCATGCCTGCTGCCTTGTGCCAGAGTGGAACCAGCAAAGTGCAAGGCAGAGGGCTAAAAGTAAGGACATCACTGGTCATGTCCCTTCTCTGCAGGAGTAAGGTGTTAGTTGTCCCCTGGGCATCAGTGTTTGCCATCTCATGATGCCATCTCTGGTGTCTGGTGCCTGTGTTGCCTGAGATTTAGTTAAAAGTGGCTCTCTTTATGAGGCGATGTCACCCGTCTGTAGGGATAATAAACTGAGGTGAGCTATTTAATTTATCCTTCTGTCTCTCTGCCTAAGTCAGCCCATCTACTGCTGCCAGCCCTGAAGTTCCTCACTGTCCTATCCCATGGACTGTGGGTGAACTGAGGTTGCACAATCATAGCCTAAGCACAAGGAGCCCAGTGGCTGTCTGCTCCAGGCCACATTCCTGTGCCCTCTCCTGTCACCTCTGAGCTTCCCTGTGCTCTGGGGAACCCTGGTCTCTCCTCACTGCTTTGGCACACAGTAATGAATCCACCTGTACCCCTCCCAGTCCTTCATCCGGCTGCTCTCTGAAAGCTGCTCTGGGTGCTTGTACTCCTCCAGTGGTGCTGGTGTGGTTCACAACCTCTTATTTCTTTTCAAGCCCTCTCCCTTGGCACTGGACTCTGTGGCCACAGGCTGTGGTGGCCGTGGGGCACTGGAGGGACCTCTCTGGTGTGGCACACTGTGGCACACATCCCTCTGCCCTGCACAGAGGGCAGCAACACCTGCTCGGGGCAGCCCTGGTGCTCCATGCTGGCCAGAGACCCCATCCTTTGCCCCTCAGGTCCTGGGTGGGCTGGGACCCCCTGCGTAGCCCCTAGGGTTGAGCTTCTCCTGTAGGACCAGAGCCAGGACGGGGACCCCAGCCAAGGCCCTGCAGCTGGGAAAGGGATCTTGGCTGCGGCCTCTTTGAAGTGTAGCTTGGGCAGCTACGGGTCCCAGACAGGGCGAGGAGGGAGCGGTAATTGTCTTCAGTGTCCATTTCATGCCTGTGCTGGGATGCAGACCCCATGAGGGCTTCCAAAGGGAAGAGAAGATCATTGTCCCTGCTCAATGCTGCTCTGTGCAGGGCCAGGGTGCTCTGCCCTGCCCCACTGCCACCACTGCCCCAGGAATGTGCCAGCCACGGCCTGACGGTTCTGGCCCAGGGGCTGCTGCCTCTGGGCTGCTGCCAGGGGAGCTCCAGTGGCCCTGCTGGGACTGGGGGCCCATGGGAACTGCTGGCCCTGGCACGGCCACGCTGCTTCTGGGTCCATGACGGATCTGCCCCATGCCCGATCCTCACTGGTGTGTGGGGCTGTGCCTGCTTTGGCACTTCTGACTTGGGGGCTGGCAGCCCTGCCATGGTGCCACGAGACCTGGCTTTGACCAGAGCTGTCAGCAATGTGCTGGGTGACATGGGCGGACATCTTCCATCCTCCTCGGGCTCTGTTCCCACGGGAGCTGGGTTTGCACAGCTCTGTGAACACACCTCCAGGGCTCTGACTGCATCTGGAAACTACTGCGTGAGGCTCTGGTCCATACTGGGAACAGCTGGAGCAGGTATCTGCTGTCCTGCCAACCCACCCAAGCTCAGCCCCTCCATGCCTGGGGTTGTCAAACCCTAGTGCAGCATCATGTAGTCAATACCCATCTCACCAGGCACCAGGTAATGCTGGTCACCACCACCAGGGTGAGGTGGCATGAGGGGTCCACAGTGTCAGGGCCCAGAGATGAGGTGTTGTTACCTGGAGATGGGACTGCTTGGCCCTTGCCTGGGCTCAACCCAGAGACATATCCAGCCCCTGCACTGCCCCAGGGGATGCAGAATCTCATCCTTCATGTCCTCAGCCATGTGGTTTGGGACAGATCCAGTCACCTAAGTCTGTTTGTAGTTTCTCTCTTCTTCTGCCCAGCTTCATGCCCTTCTCACGCCCTTGAAGGCTGGGCTGCATGCCCAGCTACCCCCTTAGAGAAGGGCCAATCTCCCAGCAGAGCAATTATCCCAAATGCCAGCAGGAACAACCACATCTTGGGCCCCCAGCCTGGACATTTTGTGCTTTTTGCCTTTCTTCCCTGCCGCGCAGTCAGAAACTGCTCTGCCCGGGGCGGGTCCCTGCTGCTGGGGCAATTTGTAGCAGCTCCAACTCCAGCGTGCTGGCAGCCCATGCTCTCTGCATCCACTGTTCTGATCCTGCCAGCGCAAATCCCTGGGAAATGAACTGAGGATGTGATGTGTGATGCCCAGGAGAATCTCCTGATCCTAGGGCTGGTGCTTACCAGGATGAGAGCCGGGCTGTGCAGGGCTGTCTTGGCTAAGGGGTTGCCTGGCATGTCTCAGACCTGTGAGCTGGCACCTGGCATCCCTTACTCATCCCCTTGGTCCCTTGTTACGGGTGTTCCTCTGCCCCAGATCATCACTGTACCTTGACACTTGAGGCTCAGTGCAGCAAAGATCCACTTCCAAGTGGCAAGGGACCATGTCTGGCCCCTTCTCTGCAGGGGACAGCAGGGGCAGTGGTGGGTGACCCTCTGCTGCACCATTCTGGTTCATTCCCAGGGGATACAGGGACCACGGCTGTGCCCAGGCCCCAAACTATCTCCACTGGGGGGAATCAAGCACAGCACCCTGGCCGTGCTCCAGCTCCCTGCCAGCTCCCTGCCAAGTCTGCTGTCCCTGCAGCCTGATGTGGGTGCTCGCTCCTGCCTGGGGAGACCCAGCACGACGGGAAGGGGTGGGGCTCCCAAAATTTGCCACGGGGACCATGACTTTACTCCCTGCCTTACAGAGGCAGCTGCCTGTGGGATATCTGCCCTGTTTCTTTGTTCTTGAAGTCAGAGACCAGAGCAGGAGCTGGGATCTTGGCCAGCATCCTGGCGGCAACACCCTCCCTGTGTGGGTGTCCCTAGACCCAAAGTGTCTACTCGTGGGAGCCCCATGTGACAGTGGGTGCAGACACAGTGGAGGTGGCCCCTTCCTCCTGCCCTGTCACGAGGACACCTCTGGTTACCATTCCTTGGAGATGGGATCATGCTAGACAGGACTGTGCCCCAGGCAGGGACAGGGAACTGAAGGACAGAGCTTGTTCCACTAGCAGAGCTGGGCTGGAGTCAGGCTGCAGCCATGTCCCAGGGAGAGCTCAAAACCCACCCATGCCATGATGCTGTTTAGCTACTCTGCCTCGGTTTCCCCAGCTATAGATGAGGGCTGGGCACACGGACCCAAGCCTGCACAATTTCAACAACCAAATGTTTTTCCTTCCTTCATTCCCATTCCCACTCTGCAGCCTGGCCCTGCAGAGACAGGGCAGGAAGGCCATGTGGCTCCCACCTGTCCTGCAGCTGGATCCAGGGGCCAGCACTGGGAACAGTGAGTCCTGCTGCCTCAGACCCTCTCCTGAGTGCATGTCCCCCAGTTCCTCCCAAGGCC